CCCCAAAACCCCAAAACCCCAAAACCCCAAAACCCCAAATATTTTGTGCAATATTGAAATTATTTTAGGTATGAAGCCGAATTATCAGCAGTATTATGACCAGTAGGAAATGGGGTGTTTAGTTGTTTAGGATAAGGAGAAATACACCAGAGAAACATCCAAGGTAGGGGTTTCGAGGATGAAGTCTCTCAGACCTATATTCTTTGTTTATCTCTGTTCTAGATAATCTCTAATTATCATGCTGAAATTCTTTAATATTGAAGGTTTAATTAAAGGGATATAGGCTTAGAGTAATTTCAAATTATAGCAAAGCCTTCTATAAATCATCAGGTAATTATTATAACTTCGAATGAGGATAACTTTTATCAGGCGAAAGCACTCAAGAATATACACATCTGAAGACGGATGGCTCATCTCCAATAAAATTTCGTAAATCGAATAAGATAAAAGTTTTGAAATAAAAGTATTGTAAAGCCTCAAAGAGATACCAAGACTCGATTGCCAGCCTATAAAAAACCTAGGAAGAGTATAGATTTCTGAAAGACCAAGCCTCCAAATGTTTTTAGATCTGATCACCAAAATTCCCACATAAATTTAAAAACTCTTAATGGAACTACCTCTGGAATGCAGAAGATGTTTTCATCCTCAGTAAAGCTAATAAGGGAGAGAGGTCAACACAGGAAATCCAGGTCAACAGGAAATGGAAACTGATATTCTGTATTAAAGAAAATACAGAGGAAAAAGATGAAATATCTCTCTCCTTCTCAGGCTTTATTAAAGAATCAGGATGCTAACGTTGATGAAATTATTAATATGACCAAAATCACAGCTGAGCGTATCCGCCAAAGCAAGCAGAACAACTTTGGTATACCATCAGTAATAAACTGGGAGAAGGCATTCCGTGAGAAGAAGGTGGACAAATTAGCACACAATATCTTAAATAGGAACAAAAGCGAGCAAAAGAAGGGTATTTCTTCCTTAATCTCTAGAATTCGATGTCGATTTGTTCTTTAATGACTTAAAATGGCAAAATCTTAATAAATAAGGAGAGACAAAGAAAAGGAATACCGCATTCTAGTCAGCCAGTGTCTCCACTAAAGGGATCAATTAGAGATCTTTGAGAAAGAAGGGAAATTAATCAAACCAGATGTTCTCCCTTACAACAAGTTGCCTCTAAGATAGACATAGAAGGCCCTGGCGAAGACTCTATCATCTTTAATTTAGATGACGAGGTAATATCTTAATTTAATTTCGTCATTATATAATGTTCAAACTAAGTTGCTATAGCTAAACTCTCCTTTACAAAAGAAGGAAACTCCATCTTGAATATCCCTTTCGCTGTACGAAGATTCAGAAAATGAGCAGGCTCAGAGGATAATGAACGAAAAGATTAAATCCTTTGAGGAAGAAATTAATAATGGGAGGCATCGATCCAAGTCAAGAGTATCCCAAAAGTGTAATTTTGGTATTCATAAGACTTTAGTTTGAAAAACTTCTGCTGATAAAAATGATGGTAAACCTTCTAATTTTAAGCAAAACCCTAAAGTTATCATCTCTACAAGCCAGGAGTTAAATAGGAAGTATGAGAAGTCCTCTAAGCCTCCTCTAAGTAACCATAAAAAGAGGTCTAAACTGTACATTCCGAAGAAGACGTTGTACATGAACAACATGGATAACAGTATGAGCTTTGAAGAGGATAACCTATAACTTTCAATATCTCCTCAATTTATAGGGGTTTTGGGGTTTTGGGGTTTTGGGG